AAACATTGAGTAAGGGCCAGGTCAATGTTTTTCACACTTCTCTTATATAACATAAATGATTTTTGAGTGTTAAAACGTCCTCTAATTATGTTTACAATTTTGATTCCTTGAATTGGAAAGTTTTCTTAAATTTGTTAACTTCCTGCCCTCGTAACCAATCTAATTATCTTTCCGAAATTGTTTTCCCTTTCAAGATTTAAGTATTCAGTTCTATCCTATCATGGTTCCGAGATTCTATGGCTTTAAAACAATGAAAATAGGGGCATATTTATTACGAAAAGTCTGGGAGACATGCAAGAAATCTATCAGAAAAATTAATGCTAGGAGGGAACCTTTTTAAAGACCGTGAAGTCATTTAAAGTGTACATCTAAACCTGCAACTCACAGCCATGTATGATAAAAAAAAAAAATCTCTCTTTAGAAGACACATCCCGAAAAAGGACGAAAGTAGTGACATCGTAACTGTCCTTTAGCAAGAAGTAAGCCCACCTATGCAAAATTAACACACGAAAATCACCTGGTTCGGGTTTTGGCATTCCGACCTCGGTCATATCCGTTCCACCGTCGAAATTAGGTTCCAGGAGCTCTCACATTACATTCACGCTAATAAATACATCTAATCTCAATACACAAAAAGTATCTTCCAAATATATATCTATATAATCTATACACAATGAAACGGGCCATTTTTCCTTGAAAAATTAGAACAGGGGACTCAAAGATTCCCTATTTAAGATCAATTCTCATATCGGGTGGCTCCTACACGCTCTCTACATAGAGCCACGTAACGACATCTTTTAATTAAGTGGCAACGAAAATGTTTCTTGTATTGCTTTTATTTATAAATTTGATAAATTCGTATTCTGCTATATTTTAAATGTTATGTGTTTTATAACAAAGGGAAAAATAAGTAGAAGAAAGTATGAACATTAAGAAGATTAATAAAGAAATATATGAGAATTCTCAAAGAAAGGGAAATGGAGAATTTAGCATGTAAAACGAAAAAAAGAAAAATGAAGTAAATAAGGAGAATGATAAACAAGGAGAAAAGTGATTGAAAATAAAAAGAATAAGAGTGAGAAAGATAGATAGATAGATAGAGAGAGAGTGAGAGAGAGAGAGTGAGAGAAAGAGAGAGAGGTTGTTGAAAAAGTTTGTTAAAGATACAGGTCAGAGAATAGCATACAAAATGAATAAAAAGTAGAAAATGAAGTTAATAAGGAGGAGAGGGATGAAGAAAGAGAAAATTATTAAAAAGAGAAAAAAAGAAGAAAATTGAGAAATAGATAGAGACAAGTGAACAAGAGTGAGAAAGAGAGAGAGAGAAAGAAAGAAAGAAAGAGAGGAGAGAGAGAGAGAGAGAGAGTGAGAGAGAGAGAGAGAGAGTGAGAGAGAGAGCCTCTTCAAAATGCATTTCTGATACTGATTATTATTGATTCAGGAGTTTGTTTTATATCCATAATGATAGAGATAATCGAACATTATAATCTATGAACTAATCTTTAGATGTAACATTAATAATACAATAATATAATAAATTAATTCGTTTAGTTACTGCAGGAACCTTATGAGCCAGCAAGTAAGACAAAAAGTCCTAAAGGATAAATTGGCTGAATGATATTAATTTCATGTTTTAGTATGTATTTTATTGTCTACTTCCGCACTAAAGATGAAATAATAAAGAATGAATATCGGCACCCCTCTGGCGTCAAAATTGAGTTATTCTTTTAAAAGAAATCAAATATGAATGAGATTCTTTCTGCAAATATTCACCTGTTGACTTGATTACTCGGCGTGAAAGCACTAAATTCCGTCTGTATTGCAAACGTTCCATTAAAGCACATTCTAAAAGGGACTTTGTTTAGTTTCGGAGATTAATTATCCAAATGAAACGGCTTCAACGGTTCACTAAGTGAATGGGGCGGTAATAGTGGGAGTCGGCCATATGTTGCTGCGTGTTTCAACGGACGCAACAGGTGCTTTTATCGATGGACTTTAAACGAAGGACACTAACCCCTCAGAAAGTATCTAGTAATCATGTGACTGGTGAATTTAAAAAAAAATCCATTTCCGTCTTGTAACGAATAAGGGCGAAGTTGTAGGAGTAAGTACCTTAAACGGAAAGTAAAACAGGCTAGTAAAACTTCAACAAATTGGAAATTTTTAAATAAATCTATGAAAAAAAGAAAGAAACATCGATGACTGACCAGGGAAAAAATTGAAAGGGTCATTTTAAAGCATTTTTTAAGAGATAACACTCATATTGACAAAATTAACACTTAATATTGAGTTAATCAATATCATCTCTTTTCTATTAAGGTTTCTAAAGATTTCTGCTCAAAGTTTGGTTTTGACAGAATCAGGTAATTGTTTTTAACATTTCTTTACTGGATTAAAAATTGTTCTTGGGGTGTTTTCATGAAAAGGGCAGGTGTGATTTCTTCCGAGTCGATCCACTTTTGATCCACTTGTGTTCTTCCTGGTCGAACGAACTTTTTTTTCTTATGAGTTAAAGGAAAACTTACGAGCCTGTATATCCTGAACAGGTGCGAACTGTAGTCTATGCCCTTTCGTGAATGTCACCCTTCCTGTTTTGAAACAATTGCAATATAACGACTTCGTATGGTGGTACTAATCAAATTAATCAAATACCTAATGTTTATGAGAAAGAGAAATTGTTATTCCACTCTACCGTAGTGTACCTTTATGTATTCATTAAAACGTATCAGGGAAGATCTATCTACTACCTGATCAAACGTTCATCCTGGTGTGAGAATTTTTGTCTTTGTCCATTTTAATTTAGTTCTTTTTTTCTTCTTAACTATCTTCCTTTTTCATATAACAGAAAATGCCTTCATGTAGTTTAGTTAGTTTCATTGTTGATGAGTATATAATATGAACTTGCACTGTATTGCAATTTATTGCAAAATATCAACGAACAATTGAAAATATTCGCACACGAAATAACAGAACCAATTTTTCTAAAAATAATATGGACTATGTTAATAATCGATTAAGTAAATAGAAAAAAATTTGTACCTATCCTTCATTCACAAAGAGAGAGTGTTGGCAAATCAAAGGCGGTATGGTCCTAAAATTCCCATAAATTCCCTACGGAACATCAATCTAAAGAATAAGACAAAGAATTTGAAAAATGGCAAAAAGGAGGGAAAATTCAAAAGGTGCGGTTGAGATGGGAAGTTGGTGTCCGAGCGGATCGAGGTCACGATAGCTCAAGTAGTAGAGCAGCGGCGTATCAAGCCGAAGATCGTGGGTTCGAATCCCGCTCTTGCCATCGACTTTTTTATCTCAACTAAAAACGTTAATTAATTATAATATATTAATTGGTCAAGCGGACCACGAAATTAGTGAATTTATCTAAAGAATGTTACAAAATTCCCACAACTTTCCGGGTCCAATTTTGAAGATTAATAATTTGAATTATAGTGGTAACACTTTCCTGAGGGTAAAAAATAGCAGTGGAACCTTCCTAGAAACGTCTATGTCCGATGCAATTCTTCAAGAACAGATTGAGCAGAAAAGCATGATTGTTCCTTCCTCTGGATGACAGTAAGAAGGTTGATGTCCTTCATTATCCTGAGTCCTTAATTTCAATTTTTAAACTTAAAAATGCCACTTAATGCTGAGGATTTTGCGCGTGATGTTGCGCTTATTGATAATGGCGAGACGCCATTAGGCGTTATCGAGAAATTAGGTCCTACCACAGAAGGCCGGATTCTGGACGCCCTAGGGTAACAGAACCACAGGATGACCGTTTTTTGTCTTTGAGAATTTTGCGAAAGCGGCACCTTACTATTGTTCAAGCGATTCATCAGCTCCAGGAAGTTCGAGGTGTTCAAATTTCTGAACGCACTCCTCGAAGAAGATTAAATCAGTATGGACTGATAGTTTTTCGCCCCATAAAAGGACGTGAATTGACCAGAATACACAGAGTTGCACGGCTCGCATTTGCTCGAGAACACAGTCATTGGTCTTTGGACGATTGGTCTGCTGTACTGTTTACAGATGACTGTAGATTTGCTCTACGTTCTCGAGATGGGCTTGAAAGAGTGTGGAGAAGGTGAATTGAAAGGTACGAAGACTGTAATTTTTCCAGAGCCAACTTTTTCAACGTTGCTCAGTGATGGTGTGGGCTATGGAGAGTCGCACAGAGTTGGTTGTTGTACGTGGAGGGTCTTTGACGACCATTCGCGATGTGGATGAAATTTTGGAACATCATGCGTTGCCTACTCTCAATGAAATCAGCGACAATCCTAATCTAATGTACGATAATGCCCGACCACATAGAACAAACGTACCTTCAACAGCATAACATCAGGTTCCTAGCCAGGCCAGCCCGTTCTACAGACTTGAACCCCATCGAACATTTATGGGATAACCTCAAAAGAAAAATAAGAACACGTCCATCACTTCCTGATACACTCTACGATCTTGAAAGGACTCTTCTTGAAAATTTTCAGACTGGTAGAAAGTATGCCGAGGCGTCTTCGAGATGTAATTAAGGCAAGAGGAGGAAATACGCGATGTTAACTAAAATTTTCCTTAGCAATTTCCTTTTTTTTTTACTTTTTTAGACAAAGATTCAATTATTAAACGTTAAAAACCGTGAAACTTTTATTAATATAAAAAAAAATATATAGAAATCCAGTTATATTACAAGTGGGTGAACTTTTTGCTTGACAGTGTATTATAACAATGTTTATGACTTATGATAATTTCTCAAACTTCATTTGGAGAATTTTGAATTCTATCACCCAAATTGAACAAGTTGAATAATATTTGCATAATAATATAAATAGTAAATTAAAAATTTTATAAAACAAATTATTTTCTTGATGTCTCAATGTTTTTGTTTTCTTCGGCATTTAGTTTCGTCCTGTTAAGTACGAGAGGGGAGAATGGGCGGTTCCATTATGGGAAAGTGAACATAGGATAGAAATAGAGGGATATGTAAAAGTCGATTATATGTCGTGGATCCTTGTTGGTAAATGAGAGATGGTTTGTACCTCGGGGCCGAAGGGGGGAGCAGTACCTCTCAACGAAGAGGGAGTACGCAAAGTACAGAGTGGGGGTGTTCCAGAGGCTCTCCTCGCTCGCTCGAGCGTACCTCTTGACACTCGACCGCTTGCACTCCACGCACCGCCAACCACCGCTACACAAAGATACACTAACTCGTGATTTTTCAACAAATCCATCAGCCGAGCATAACCGGTGCCCTTGTGCCTCCTGAGTAACTGAAGAAAATGTCCTAGCAGGAGCCCAATACTTGTCATACTGGACGGTCAACCAATTTACATAGTGTTTTGTGCATTTTGAGGTGTTTTTACTCGTTTTTATATTTTAATTCTAAGCCTAGTCTAAGGCAAGTTCGTGTCTAGTGCGCGATCACATTTCTTCCCGACCAGTGAAAAAAAGCCGCCAAAATTTTTGACAGTAAGTCATTATTACCACTATACCCACACAATCTTTTATGCACATTTAATTTAAATTTCTTTCAAATCTTTCGGGTCCTACGAAGATAAATGGAATTTTAAAGTTTGCCAATATAAAGCATAGTGAACAATCCCAAAACAATTTAGTATTAAAGAATATTCTGACATAAACATACTTTAACATGTAAAAGGTAGAACTTGAAGCTGTACTTGCTAGAAGCTTAAGAGCTACAGATTTTAAGACAATTTAAATAGTAAAGGATAATCATTTAAAAAAAGTACGATCGACTAAGATCCATCTAAACAAAAGTTACCCAAATTAATTTAATTTTGAATATTTTTCAATGAAATTTGCATTCTCCAAAAAATATATTTTACCCATTTTTTTTCTAAGACAAGGTTTTTAACTTTCCTTCGATTTGTATTAAGTTGCGTTCTATTTTATTTTTGTTATAAAGAAAATAACTTTTTAATAACATAAACTAACAATTAACAGGAAGACAAGTGAGAAAAGTACAAGTACACAATTAAATTTGAATTTAAAATTTCATAGAATTTCAGCAAAATTAAAAAAAAAATTACAGAAAAACACGTTTATTCCGCATATATTATATAATTAAACGCATTAAAATTTCATGTAGTTCTTTTTATAACTTTATTCTAAATAAGCCTGGAAAACATTTGAGAAAAGATTCGTTTCAACCAATGTAACAAAAGCTTAATCCTTATCCTGCGAACGACTTAAAACGTTTCTTCTCGAATTTTTACTTTTTGTCGTTTTTATTCTTCACAATTTGGGATTTATTGAATGAAAAAACTTACATAGAAGGGTCAAGATTTAGCAATTTACACATTATAAGAGCAATTGGCATTATTTATATTGTTATTATTTTAGTAATTAATATTAATATTTGTTTTTATAAAGTTACTACAACTTTTGTATCACGTTGATTATTTACAATCTTAATAGGTTAGATTTTTCATCTTATTTAATATGGATATATTTTTTTATCTAATCATAACAAGTACAACATCTTTAACTTTGAGGATTTTCAACATGCTTTTTATAATTAAAATTATATTTATATATTATTTTTGTCTCAAATTAATTGCCAAACGACAAAAAAATTAAAAAATATGTAGGAACTATTTTAACTTGACCTTCTGTTACTCATCTCGGGTAATGAATTCAAGCTCGAAAATGAGAGTTTCCCACAAGCCTTAAAGCTTGATAGTTTCATTCACAAAAGGATAAGTTGAAAATCGTGTTTATTTAAATAACGATGCTATGTTGAAGAGGAGCGATTCGGCGGCTTTATCGCCGATCCGATTCGGCCAGGGAGTCAATCAAGTGTTTAGCTGATAGATTGGTGTTTATAGATATCGTGATGCCTTCCGACTACCTAATTGCTTTAGGTTTGGATTTACAACCTTTGTACGGACTAGATGTGTTAAAAAAAGGGACTTATACGCGTTTGTGATATATTATTTGGATCGGAAGTTCACACACAAATGGCTTTATTTCTCGATCATACTTTCCTGCTTCGTTCAAATCTCCACTGACTGTCAGGACAATGCGGTCTTCTTTCTCACTTAAATGACTAGAATTGTGAACACAGTATAGATACATTATCAAATTTTGTTAATATTAAAGAAACATCATTTTTTCGGAAAAATCTTCCGTATTGAGTATGTCCACATTTAAATATATCTTGTTACAATGGTGACTTATACATGAATTCAGGTTTCTAACAAATTAATTCTATTTCCATACTGTCTTTGAATTGGCAATCAGCAAAAGGAAAATATTTCTATTGTTAAATTAAAATTTAAGAAAAACAAGTTCATTTCTCCAAGCTGTATATGTGATTTGGTATAGGTATTCAATTTCTTCATCTACACATCAATCATACTCACACACACACGCGTGCGCACACACACACACACACACACACACACACACACACACATATTTTTTACTTATTATGTATTTTGCACAGCCATACATAGATTTTTCTCTCTCTTTCCTCCCTTTCTCTCTCACTCTCTCTCTCTCTCTCACCCTCCATCTNAATATATATATAATCTATTTTATCTACCTAATGTCATCTATCTATCTATTTATCTATTTTATCTACCTATCCCTCACTCACTATTCTCTACTTTTGCATAAGTAGAATACGAAGTCTTAAATAGTGCATTTTGTTAAGTAAATTAGTACTTTTGTGTTGTCTGTTCTTTTCTTTATAGTATATTGGTGTTTCATTCATGTAGATTTGTAAATTTTGACTTAATGCATATGTACATGTATATAGTGAAATGTAGATTTATAATATTCTCTCTCTCTCTCTCTCTCTCTCTCTCTCCTCTCATTCTATCCATACTTTTCTCCCACAATTTCTTTCTCATTCTCACTCACAAACGCACAGAATTTTTTTTCATTTTTACGTAGTGGTTTTTTCGCCTTTCTCCTTATTCTTTAAAATTATATTTCTCGAACAGTATTTTATTTCTATATATTATCTATCTTGTCTGTTTTTCGAAGCGTCGTTGAACATTTGAAGTGCGCAGTTTGATCGACCCTGATCATCTGTTATCGCTGCCATTTCGGCGTTTCGCCACCTCTTGCGGATTTCCTCGGCGGACATATCTTTACATCTACCCAATTCATTGTGATTCTTTATTCATTACGCATATACGTAATATCAGCCTTCTTATTTTCAAGAGAAATTTTCGAAAAATAATCAAAAAGATTATTTTTGCAAGCACTGTGAGGAATACTAAGAAAATAGCGTTTATGCAAAATGAGCCATCTAGGGTTAGTAACACCTATTTAATTCTAGTTTCTAAGCACTCAATTATGTGCAATCTGTTTATAATTGTAGGCTTCCAATAAAATTATACAGTTTGATCTCGAAAAAATAAGAATTGATAGAATCTGATTTTTTATAATATTTTTCTTAGTTATGTTAATGATTATGTTGTACTTATTCATATTTAACAGATGTGTATTGTTGGACAATTGTATTGTGTTACATAACTAAGAAAGTCGTTTAATATACATAGAAACATTAATTTTCTGTCTGATATAAAATCAGCCCCCTGTCAATAATTCTCATTGGAATAAAATAATGATATCTGTAAGTTTTTATTGCGCCCAGACGTTTTGTGCTTAACTAGCGCTTGGGAACGATTGCCCAGTAGAGGAGCAATCATGATACAGATGATTAGATGTTTTAGAACCTGTTGCACAATATCACCACTGTTTACATTCGCCTTTGGAAACTTTTCAAGGCTTGTTATTAAAATCTCCAGCTGGATTAGTCATTCAATCCGAGACTCATTCAATTTTATTAAATACATTCGTTGCACCCGTTATGGAATTTCTATTGGCCGGATTTGCAAGTGAAAGGACATTCGTTTGCCTTACGACATTTATCACCTGGTTACTAACGGTGGTAAAAACCGATTAACGCACAAGAACGGATCCCGATTGAATATTACGACATGGGAAATTCAGCCTTTATGCATTTATGAATTTTGTTTAGAATTATTTACAAATGTTCGATTCTTTCTCTGATGAACAGGTATCTGTAAAAACACACATTTTGTTGGTGTTTTTAAAAATAGAAATCTTAAGATTCGACCTCTTAACAGTTCGAAATATGCTATTCCAGTACAGTATTCCTGGAATAGTTCGCTGCTCGACCCCGAGCTACCCGCTGCGAGTCAAATCGGTGTAATTGGAAAATTAATGTTCAGGTAGTCCTCACTCCTCGAGCCTCCGGTTCAAGACGGTACGAGTCTTGAATTGAAATTAATGATGAGCCGAATGGGCCGTTGATGAAGTTATTATCTCTCCCGATGGTTGCCACATGTCGTTCGAGACCAGTTGGCTGTGACAGAGAAAAGGACTTTTGACAAAACGCGAAACCGTCTCCCCCGCCGATACGGACCCATTTCCTGTCAATTAGCGACGATTTTTTTTCTTATTTGTAAACTGATCCCATTTGTCTGATCCAAAAGGAGAAACGTTTGTTACAAATGGAAGATCGGTTGGGTAACTTCGTATGTGTTAAATAACATCCTTTTTGGTACTAGATTAACTGTACTCGTAACAAGAGAATTTATTGTTTATAATCTTTCTTACATTTTCTACTCCTTGAGATATGATTGATCTAATATAACAACAATAGTAATAACTTTTGTACGTAAAAAATCTCTGAAACATGCAATTATTAATCGAACATAGGTTTTTATAATATGTCCAAATGTACGTAAACGATGCATTAAAGATAAATCAAATTTTTATAACACAAAATTATCTTTTTAATATGGCTCTCTTATCCTCTCTCTCTTTTTCTTTCGTTCTCTCTCTCCCCTCTATCCTATCTATCCATCTCTATCTCTATCTATGTACCTCTGTATCAATCGTTCTATCTCTCTTTCTCATCCTCTCTCCTTTCCTTTCTCTTTCTCTCTCTCTCTCTCACTCCATCTCTCTTCCTTTCTCGCTCTCTTTCACTCTCTCTCTCTCTCTCTATCTATCTATCAATCTCTATCTATCTATCTATACCTCTACCTCTACTACTCTCTCACTCACTCTTCTTTCTCTCTATTACTGTAGTTTTTTAACTTGCTTCTCTGGCTTTCTTTTGCTTAATCCTATGTTTTTCTGTTCTCTTTTTTTGCCCTTTCTCTGTTTTTCTTCTTTACTTTCTGTAACGTTTTAATTTCTTTTCCGACTTTCTTTTCCTCGAACCTACGGATTTATTTTCTCTTCCTTTTTTATAGCTTTCCATACTCTTTATCTGAACGTGGCTAATCAATACATAAAAGAAAAACCTAATTTTAAAAACTAACAAATAACTTATCTATCTATCTTTCTTGATCTATGTCTTTCTCGTATATTTTTCTTTTTATTACTTACCTTCATTTTTAATTCTTTTACTAGCATAACTACCCTCCTACATTTCACCGTTCACGCTTCTTTTTTTTTCA